AGTACTACTTAACACACCACTCCTATCTGCTGGCACATTAGATTGCAAGCGCAGTGCCCCAAATTTGAAGTAGGAGGACCGACCAAGCATCTTTTTCCATCTCCCGGTTCCTAAAATCGATGCCATATACACATCCCCTGATAGGGAACGTAACAGGGATTAAACTGATAGGAATAGTACTACTTAACACACCTTATAATAATGCAGAGAGAGGCAATGCAGAGAGAGGAGTCTGAAGAAGAGGAGTCAGAGGAGGAAGGTGGCTTTGAGGAGGTGGAAGACCAAACACTGCAGGCATCCCAGGGGGCTTGTTGTCACCGTTTGGGGACCCTTGGTGTTGTACGTGGCTGGGTGGAGGAAGAGACCTTCAATGACATCAGTGAGGACAAGGAACGGGACATGGCTAGCTTGGTATCCAACCTTGTGCAAATGGGGAGTTTGCGGTTGTGCAAATGGACTGTTTGCGGTTGTTTGCAGTGCGTTAAACGGGGAGTTTGGTCTGTCACTGTGAAGCGGGCGTAACCCTTACACTACCTGATCGATACAACATCATACCTGATGTTTTAAAGCACGTTATTCCAAACAATTTAGGAATGTTAGGTGATTTATACCCTTTATGGATTAAAACCAGACTCTGCATCAACTATGTAATTTTCCATAGGAGTTTTGCCATGGATCCCCCTCTGGCATGCCACAGTCCAGGTGTTAGTCCCCTTGAAACAACTTTTCCATCACTATTGTGGCCAGAAAGAGTCCCTGTGGGTTTTAAAATTCTCCTGCCTATTGAAGTCTATGGTGGTTCGCGAACATTTGCGGAAGTTCGCGTTCACCGTTCGCGAACCGAAAATTTTACATTCGCGACATCACTAATCATAATCATTCCAATAATCTGTAGTAGTGATGGAGCATGCACTGCCCCTATAAATATTTTGAATTGTTTATTTGCTGCTCTCTTTTATACAATACATATGCCTAGTCAAGGTAGTTTGTGTTTTCTGACATTCTGTTAGTAACCTTGAGATCTGTGCTGATAAAGTACAGCTCGAACACTGAGTGCTCCCAGCTCTGGAATATTGGTAACAGTTTTCTAATGGCACCATCTTGTAATAATATTAATGCACATTGTGATTTCTATAGTTTTACAAAGGCCTGAAGGTCTGGAATATAGGTGATAAACGATTTAAATCAACCTCAAATGAAGGCCGAGTTTGAACCTCATTAAAAACTGAGACGTTGATGTAAAGTTGTGAGCAAGTACTAAAGGAACTATTGCAACATAGAGCAACTTTTACTAACGTGTGAGAAATGTGTCCACTCCATGTGATAGAAAAAGTCTTTATGTTCTATTTAAAGGACCACTCTAGGCACCCAGACCACTTCAGCCTAATGAAGTGGTCTGGGTGCCAGGTCCAGCTAGGGTTAACCCATTTTTTCATAAACATAGCAGTTTCTGAGAAACTGCTATGTTTATGAATGGGTTAAGCCTTCCCCCTATTCCTCTAGTGGCTGTCTCATTGACAGCGCTCGCGATGCTTCTCACTGTGATTTTCACAGTGAGGCACACTCAAGCGATCAATAAGGAAAGCATTATGAATGCTCTATGTGACGACTGAATGCACATCGCGCGCGGCTCTTTTGTCGCGTATTCGGCTTTCGATGTCGAGGAAAGAGGAAATTAGGAGGAGGAGAGCTCCCATGGCGCTGGAAAAGGTAAGATTTAGCTTGGGCTACCTATAGTGCCAGGAAAGCGAGTATGTTTCCTGGCACTATAGTCCTTTAAATAAACCAAAAAAGGGTGCAAGTATTGGGTCTTTTTGGACTCTGGGCAGTATTGCTTTTACACTCCTACAAAGTCCATTTATTACAACACATCTGTTATTGAGTGGTTCATAGCTACCTGCGAAAACCCTTGGGGTACAATGACACTAATGGCCGTACAAATTAGCCATCGTTCTGGTATAACAGAGTCTCCTTCTGTAGCTGGAAGACAGCTTTGAAGAATGCAGAAACATCGCTGCAGAGCTAAATTGTGAAAGTTTTTTTTTCCTCTTCGGTGTCCCTTTAGCATTCGTGCTAAGAGTTGAGTATATAATGTTTACGTAGCAACAGCATACCTACCAAATATCATTGGTGTTTGTTTTTATAGTGAAATTACACCTCAAATATTTGAGACCGGTTCTTACAATGCAATACAATTGCTTGCGGAGGTGCTCACATCATCGTGTAATAACTGGATTTTCAGATTGCTCCATCCATGACACACAGTGTTTGGCTTATCTTGTAAAGAATATTTGTGGGAATACAGTGGGAAAACATACACAGGTATTCACTTAGGGTCAGATGCCCCAGTCCACATTCAGGGCTATTCGAGACTTAGTATCGAACAGATCATTATTTTTTATCAGTTTCAATTTTGACATTCACATATCAAAGGATAGGAATGCAAACAGCCAACAGACAAATAGTTAAAAACCTTTCCCAAACAAATATGGCAATTGTGGCTGGATTCGGTTAATAGAGCCACCACCACAGTTAAATGAAGTGCTAGAGAGGTTCTCCCGTGCAGCCACCATTGCTTTTGGGTGGGGACTAATCTAAAATAATAGGATCTAACTGACCCCTCATAAACAAGTGAAGAAGGCACTTGCTCTCTTGCCAATTTCCTGCAGTGAGTCACTGTGGTGATAGCTATTAGGGATTGACTTACTGTAGCTCTGCCCTGTGTCTAGGAAGTCAGGTGGAAATATACAGTCCCTAATTTTTTCTCTGTGTAATCTCTTGACTGGAGTTTGGAATTATAGTTGGAATTATAGTGACAGTGCTGCTTTAAAGGCCTGTATACCTCTTGATTGGTTTGGAACTATGGTGACAGTGCCACTTTAAAGCCTGCTCCCCGAATCCAGACCATTTACAAGCACTATCTCTGCCGGAGTCCTAGTGCCCAATCTCTTCTGTCTCATCTTGAAATTGCCCAGTAGATATCATGAGGACAGGCCTCTGGGAACTATTTTACTGGGACGGTACTTAATGTGGGCATATCCTGGCAAATATAGGTTGTTGGCACTATGTATTTATCCACCTGCAGGTAGAAAGAACAAAAACAAACAATGTTACTAGTAGTTGTCTTACTTTACCAGATTGTAAAACACAACAAAATGTGATAAAACAGGTACCCCAAAGAAACTAATGAAAATGGGAAAAATACTATTCATTGCTTGATGCTATACCCAGCATCCCAAAAAAAATCTGTGAGTGGGTTATACATGTTAAGCTTTCTTACATTATCTACAGAATTAATTTCTGCAGCTCTTGTAAGCCCTCCTTTTTGTCCAGCACAGATGTGGCGGTATGTGCTGGACATTTAATCTATCAGAAGCTTCTCTGAGGAGATCTTTTTAACCCCTTAAGGACACATGACATGTGTGACATGTCATGATTCCCTTTTATTCAAGTTTGATCCTTGGGGGTTAAACTAAATCAGTGAGCATGTAAGTGACTGCCCAATCATGCATTTCTGAAGTACCTTAGATTGCATAAGAGTGTTAAACAAAAATAATATTACATAGTAGCTTTATGATCTTATTGGCGGGTTACTCAAGCACCATGGCCCCTTCCGTGATTTTCATTTTTATAGAAATTACTGGTTTTGGTTTGAGTAACTCTTTAAAAAAAGAAAGTTTTGAGAAACAAAAGTGTGTTAATTACATTTTCTGAAGTTATCAGTCAATTGATTATATTTCTGTCTTATTTCTACTTTTCCCTCATATTTATAAAATTGCAAATAGTATAGTTTTTTTTTACTTGACTCCCATTTTAAAGGGACCTCTTTGCAGCAAAACCACTATCAGGGTTATTCACGAAATGTGAATTCAAGTGGATCTCCAAAGCGAAGGTAAAATAGCTGAAACATTCTCTAACTCAGCCATGGTTCCCTTTTAGCTATGATTGCCTTTAATTTGAAATTCGCTCAATTCCACTGATGTATAACCCTGTATATCTTAATAGTAGTTTTGGTGCATATACTCCTATCCCTGTTCTCTGGCAATAATCATCACTATCAATGTCATCATGCAAAGAGTGATGGTGACGCATACCCTGTAAAGCTTTCTCTTTCTCACAACAATATTTTGGTAAAAGCCGTTACGTTTCTTCTATTATATGGGGGCTGGGGAGGTTCTCATTTTAAAAAGTGGGAGCATAATGCAAAATAGTAAAGAGCCACACTAATTTTAAAAATTATTTGTAAATTTATTTAAAGACAGCACAAGAGATACAGATTCTTAGACAGTATACAGTTTACACAGCAGCATATTTTCATAAACAATATGCAAGGGCTAACAGCCCGAACAAAATAACATAAAAAGACATAACAACAAAGTAACAGTGGTATGTTCAAGCTCTGTAATATTCGTCCTGGGATCCTAGGCAAGAGATTCAACCCATCGCTGTAAAATTCTGCCTAGAAAACCCAGTAGGCACATTTTGTAGTAGAGGTATTTTGAATCCTCATACTTATCAAAATACAATCTGTATCAGTTCAAGAACATTCTGTATGACGAAATTCCTCAAATCATTACAAGAAATAGTGCAAGTAAATATAGGAATAAACATTGTATCAAGGTATATATGAAGCCTACTTCTCTACCTTATACTGTAAAAATATTCAAAGATTGACATAAAGAAAAACAGAAGATGAGACAAATGATAGAAATAGCCAAGTAAGAAGTATTAAAGAGACACTGTAGTCACCAAAACAGCTTTAGCTTAATGAAGCATGTATAGTGTATAGTTCATGGCTGTGACTAAAATTGGTTGCACTTTCAATCAGATGTAACTTACTTTAAAAGTTTTTATCTCCTGCTCTGTAAATTGAACTTTAATCACACACAAAAGGCACCTGCAAGGTCTAGCAAGCCATTAACAGTGCAGGAGATAAGGAATTCTAAATTAAACAGAATTTTAAATAAAGCAAGTGTAAACATTAGATGACTCTCTACAGGAAATAGAAAGGCTGTTTAAGTCACATGCAGGGAGGTGCGGCTAGGCTTTGTAAACAGAGAACTTAGCAGTGAGACTTCAGGGACAAGATCTATACATCAAAACTGCTTCATTAAATTAAAGTTGTTTTGGTAACTATAGTGTCCCTTTAAATAAATAAGAGAAACAAACAATAAAGATAACAGCTAGAAGCGGCAAGAGGAACAATCATCACCCACTTAGGGTTTGAAGCAAAACCTTTACATATAATAGTGAAAGTGAATAAATGTGGGTCATATTCCAATCATAGCTCCCAAGCTGTATGGAAATAGAGGATAGAATTTTGGACCAAGGCAGTAAATCTATCCATAACATAGATTTCTTTGACTATAACCTCAATCTCCGTCCTTAAAGAAATCCTATCTCCCAGCCATTTAGCTGTTAATCTTCAAGCTGCCTATGTTATCTTATTATATAACCTTTGCGCATGTGATGTTAGTCCATCCACTGGACGCAACAACATCATCCATAGAGCTTGGTTGAATGGTCTATGTCAAAACTCTTGGCAAAGGCTTCTCACCCCCCACTAGAAAATTGCTAATTTGGGGCATACCTGCCACATGCGATGGTAGGAACCTCTCTGACCGCAGTCTCTCAAACAGAGGTGGGTAGTGAATCTCCTCATACAATGTAAATGAACCAGGGTTGTATACCAGCAAATAAAATCTTACACATCTTTTCTTGGGAGACATCGAAGACTGAAACCTTAGCAGCTTCCTCCAACATGTCTCCCGATGCGCTGTCCTCCCACTCCTCTCCCAGATCCCCCTCCTATTGGCTGAAATATTGAGTGGGAAAAGGTAACAGACATGATTGTATATAAGCATGATTAAACCCTTTTGGTATTCCCCCTCTTACCCTTTGGAAATCCCAAGGTCTCATTCCTGGTGGAAATAATTGGATATCCAAAACTGAGGCGAGGGGATTGAGGCCAGAGCAAACCGGACTCTTATTTTGTTCCATAATTGTTAACTAGGTGGCTGTACCGGGGCTTAGTGTCCATGGAAGTAACCTATAGGTCTTGTCTGCCCACATGTAAAATAGAGGCACGTCTGATCCAATTAAACTGCACCCTGGGTCAACCCACCTCCACTCAACTGGTGGCACATGCCACATGACTATTTGGATCAAAAGACAAAGGGTAGTTTAGCACACAATGGTAAATTGTAGATACAATAAATGGTATCTAAAAGGTATAAACATAAAAGACCATCATAGCGTAATATGAAATTCTATAATGATATAAAAGGAGTTAATATGGAAAACCCACAATTTTTAGAGCCATATCAAAACTAGAAAAACTCTAAGGTTAAAAAAATAAACATATTTTGCGTCCCCCAATCTATTAATGTAACATTAAGCAGCCCAGTTAGTCAAAATAGTCATGTATAAATACTTGTGTATATATATATATATATGATATATACTTGAAAAGGATAAGTGGCGCTAAAATTAAATAAGATGTATCAAAACAATAAATATATCCCAGTGCGTCTGAACACACCCCAGTGTTTAGTCACCAAAAAAACACTTACGTACAAATAGCTGAAACAAAAGAAAAAGGGTAGTTGCGCACACAATGGTATATTGTAGATACAATAAATGGTATCGAAAAGGTATAAACATAAAAGACCATCATAGCGTAATATGAAATTCTATAATGATATAAAAGGAGTTAATATGGAAAACCCACAATTTTTAGAGCCATATCAGTCGGCTCTAAACTTTGTAGTAATCTCCACTTGGAATGTGATAAGCAATATAGGCCCCCCAGAGATAAGATCGTATTCTTCTGGATAAAGTGCAGGAACCAGAGTATGGAGTATAAGTAACAGTTTATTATATTAAAAAGCAAGCACAACGCGTTTCAACCAATTCCTTTAGGTCTTCCTCAGGTGCAATATTTCATAGAATGCATAATAACATATATAACAAATATATTAATTACAGATAAAAAAACACATGTTAACAATTTCCCAAATCAATCCCTCCTCTTTGCCTTTTTTGGAAATCCGATTTTCACTGCCACCATTTAAATGGATGCTCATCAATAGTTTCCTATGTGGTAATTCATGCATTGACCTTCCCAAAATGGCCACTCGTTACAGTCAATGACGTGTATCCGTTTTACTTCCGGTATTCCTCTATGATGTAACTTCCGGTTCGCGTCATGTGTGGAGGATATGAGGATATGAAGATATCATTATAGAATTTCATATTACGTCCATATTAACTCCTTTTATATCATTTTAGAATTTCATATGACACTATGATGGTCTTTTATGTTTATATCTTTTAGATACCATTTATTGTATCTACAATATACCATTGTGTGCGCAACTACCCTTTTTCTTTTGATTCAGCTATATGTACGTAAGTGTTTTTTTGGTGACTAAACACTGGGGTGTGTTCAGACGCACTGGGATATATTTATTGTTTTGATACATCTTATTTAATTTTAGCGCCACTTATCCTTTTAAAGTATATATTATATATATATATATATGTTCAAAAAGGCTTTATTCAAACATAAGCATTTCAGGGTATGCCCTGATCCCTGTACATTAGCAGGTATCAATTGATTGAACAAGTAAATAACATATAACATGTAACGGACTCGCAGGTCCCAACATTAAGTGTGTAGACAACACTCAAACAACGTTACATAGTACTTCTATATGGCATTTGGTCACGTTTAACACGTTAAGACATACATATGAGTGATCGGATTGCGGCTTGAGTAGAGGGATATTCATAAGTTTGTACCTTGCGTCTGTTTTATGTGATCCTCTAGTATTTCCTTATCACCCTTGAGCCTCATTCTCTTTGGGGTAGTAAGGTCTATTGGTCCGTCGTCATAGGTCAGATGTCATATATATATATATATATACAAGTATTTATACATGACTATTTTGACCAACTGGGCTGCTTAATGTTACATTAATATATTGGGAGACGCAAAATATGTTTATTTTTTTAACCTTAGAGTTTTTCTTTTTTTTTTTTTAAATATTTGACTAACAGAAAAAAATACATCTCATGAGTCCCTACAATTTGACACCTATTTCCTGTAAAATTTATCTAGATGACATTATGATGCATTCCTAAGCTAGAAAACAAATAAAATAATATGGCCTACTTCAGTTCCATATAAATGTTGGAATTTTTGCAGATTGTTGTTCAAACATTCAATCCACAAAAGATTTTAGTTTTCTCCTTATAACTATTAGATAGACATTCTCAAATACAAAGATCACTATGGTGTCACTTTTTCTTTTTTTTTTAGAACAAATGTTTCTATCCTTTTCTATCCTAATGTCTTTTTTTTCCCAGTAGTTTCAAATTGTTGGTGTGTGAGTGCACAGAGCTCTACAACAATAATACTTACAATAATGTCTTTAAACTACAATAAATGTGTTTAGAAATTAGTCTGAGAAACTAAGTTAGCTTGTACTTTTTCTAAATTACATTTTAGTTACATAAATTGTTCTTAGTAAGTCACCTAGAATTTCTCACAACAGTCCCGTGCCTGGTCACACCCCTATAATTAAATTACCCCTCTTTGTCCATTTGAAATGTTGGGAGGTATGACATTTTAATTTTGCGGTTACTTTATGGCACATAACCATTTGAATAGGATTAACTCTGCTCACTTATCTGTGAATTCACAGGCTTCTATATTATTACATATCATGTTCTAGAATACAACACGTTGAACAAATAATCAGCTAATGTCACAAGATGATTAATGTCTACTTTTTGGAATGTTTCACTGGCTTGATTTCGGTGTGAGTTATTAGGTTAATCATTAACCCACCAAGGTGAGAGACCCTGGGAGTATGACCAAATTTAACATCTAAGATTGTCTGGCCATATTATCGAATAAGCACTGCTAATTTCCGATCAGCCGCTTTAACAGAGTGATATCACTGTTCACAGGTTATTTTTGTTAATCATTTCCTAAGTAAGATAATTGCCTATTGTGAAAATGATAATCAATTTGTCTAGTAGGCTGAACAGAAACAGTTGACTGGTTTTCTGCTATTAATCAATACAAGAGTTAGTCTACCATATTGTACTGTGTTGATAACTTGTTAATATGTTATGTGTCTTCTATGTTTGCAGTATAATATAAATATAGGGAAATGTGAATTTTATAGAAATCATAATTGTAATTAGTACGCTAAGTGACAAATATATTCTTACTATTACTTTCCCAGTTTATATATGTCTGTAATAAATTAAAGAAAAAAAAAAAACATCTCCAACTGGATCCAGAAGAGGGGGAGAAAGAAACAGATGTAGGATGGTATACTTTCTTTAGGCTATATGATAATAAAGCAGCTCTGTCACTTTTTTTTCATTAACGTATATTGTTGCACTAGTGTTCCTGTGCACACCTGTTTTTTGTTTGTTTGTTTCTTTGTTTTTCCGATTATTTTAAATCTTGTACATAAGAAAAAAGTAGTACTTTTCCATGTGTACAACCTGCAGATTGACAAAAGTGTACGAAGGGTGAAGCTTTAGTCTAGCTACATATCCTTTGTCCTTGACATGGGGCTGCAGGGTGTGAGAGGGGACATGGGGCTGCTGGGTGAAAAATTGTGTCATGGGGCTTCTGGGTGTGAGGGAGAAAGGGGCTGCATGGTGTGAGAAGGGACATGGGGCTGCTGGGTGAGAGGGGGCAGGGGCTGCAGGGTGATGGGGGCAGTAGCTGCTGGGTTAGAGGTGGGTCAAGGGCTGCTGGGTGAGAGATGGGGACAGTGGCTTCTAGGTGAGAGGTGGGGACAGTGGCTGCTGCGTGAGAGGTGGAGACAGTGGTTGCTGCGTGAGAGGTGGAGACAGTTTCTGCTGGGTGAGAGGTGGGGACAGTGGCTGCTAGGTGAGAGGTGGGGACAGTGGCTGCGGTGTAAGGGCTGCTGGGTGAGAGGTGGAGACAGGGGATACAGGGTATGAGAGGGGCTTTTGGGTGAGAGGAAGGGCAGGGTGTGAGAGAGGCCATGGGGCTGCTGGGTGAGAGGGGGAGACATGGGCTGCAGGGTTAGAGAGGGGCAGGGACTGTAGGGTAAGAGAGGGGCAGGGGCTGCGGGGTGTGGGAAGGAGACATGGGGCTGCTGGGTGAGAGGGGGCAGGGGCTGCAGGGTGAGGGTGGCAGTAGCTGCTGGGTTAGAGGTGGGGACAGTGGCTGCTAGGTGAGAGGTGGGACAGTTTCTGTTGGGTGAAAGGTGGGGACAGTGGTTGCTGGGTGAGAGGTGGGGACAGTGGTAGTGGGGTGAGAGGTGGAAACAGGGGATAAAGGGTATGAGAGGGGCTTCTGGGTGAGAGGAACGGCAGGGTGTGAGAGGGGCCATGGGGCTACTGGGTGAGAGGGAGTGACAGGGGCTGCAGGGTAAAAGGGGGGCAGGGGCTGCAGGGTAATAGGGGACAGGGGCTGCAGGGTAAGAGATGGACAGAGGCTGCGGGGTAAGAGAGGGACAGGGGCTGCAGGGTAATAGGGGACAGGGGCTGCAGGGTAAGAGATGGACAGAGGCTGCGGGGTAAGAGAGGGACAGGGGCTGCAGAGTGAGAGGGGAAGACATGGGCTGCAGGGTGTGAGAGGGGACATGGGGCTTCTGGGTGAGAGGGGAGCAGGTGTTGCAGGGTGTAAAAAATCCTTGACAGGTGTAGACCATGTGCACAGGGCCTGCCCTGTGCATCAGTTTGCAGGCTGATGAGAGAGATCTTTGATATCCCCACTGCACAGAGCTCCCTCTATGGGCTGGAGGTCAGGCAGCACCAGCCCTAAGGGGGCCAGTCGGGGAGATCCTTTGATCTCCTCTGTCACCCTTAGGACCATGGCCATTGCGGTCCACCGGTTTGCCAGAAGGCCAGTCCGGGACTGCCTTCCAGTGTCACATTGTTTTCAGCAGCGTTTCATCATTACTTCTTTACAGCTCCAAGCAAACTGCCACAGGGCCTTCTTTTGAAGGGCAAATAAAGAGATTTATGGCAGCCACCATCTTGGAAACACTAAGATAGCGGCGTCATGAATTTAGACCCAACTGGACTTGAACAACCTTAACTAAGTTAAGTAGCACCAGTCCCGGGGTCCCTATATTTCATTAGGGTGTTGAGAAGATGGCAGCAAACAGTTATGTTTATATTTATTACAAGGGGTTAGGAGAGACAAAGATAGGCTAGGTCAAAGGTCAAATATCGCCCCGATATTAAGTGACAGATCCACTTTAAGACCATCATTCCAACATACATTTTTCAACAATTCAGTGAAATTTCTTGAGTTTTTAATCAGACATGCAATATGTACATCAGAAGTACTAGGACAAGTAGTGCTGGATTGTGTCAACACGACCCAGTGTGGATGATGGCTCTGATTTTTGCTATGATTACACCCTCAGGGATATACACATGAACACTCTGTACCCACCATCTTAAACATGTAAGATTTACTGCTGACTGCATATACATTATCTCCTCTGCCATGTGTCTTACAGGTATATTGAGTTAGTTGTGTTTACCTAGTTTAACAAAAAGTTCAGTAGGTAGTGTAGGATTGTAAGCTGTTTGAGCAATGTCCTCAACAACCTATTGTTCCTGTAACATTTTTTACTTGTCTCATTTACTGTTAAATTTCTCCCTTTTATTACATTGTAAACAGCTGCGGAAAAAGTTGGCACTACATAAAATGCCAAAAATAATAGTAGAGGGAAACAACAAAATAACAGCACATTCAAGTACAGTTACTAAAAAAATTTTACACCAAACATACAGTATATAAAATGTTGCCTGGCTACAAGTTAAAGAAACTTTGGGCGATAGTTAGTGCAGCAATTTCTTTTAAGTTCAAAAGGCATCACATACCCAAGATATTTTCATTTGTTACACACAAACACACATTTTTGTTACCTGATACCCAAACAGTGACAATATTGATGTTAAGTTCAAAGGGATACTTCAAGCTGGAGTTAACAATATTTTAATGTATTATATTGTTGATGAATAATATATACCTATATTTGCATCGAATGAAAGATGCTCACCCCTGAGATATGCGCATCCCCACGTTTTGCAGCTCGAGTGGGCTCTACCTACATAGGTTAGTTGATACCTGTCTAGTAATCATCGTGGATGGGTATTCCAGCATGAAAATGACCCAATACACACAGCCAAGACAACAAAGGAGTGGCTCAAGAAGAAGCACAATAAGTTCCTGGAGTGGCCAAGCCGGTTTCCAGACCTTAATCCCATAGAAAATCTGTAGAGGGAGCTGAAGGTTCGAGTTGCCAAATGTCAGCCTGAAAAACCTTAAAGACTTGGAGAGGATCTGCAAAGAGGAGTGGGACAAAATCCCTTCTGAGATGTGTGCAAACCTGGTGGCCAACTACAAGAAATGTCTGACCTCTGTGATTTCCAACAAGGGTTTTGCCACCAAGTACTAAGTCGAAGGGGTCAAATACTTATTTCACTCATTGACATGCAAATCAATCTATAACTTTTTTGAAATGCGTTTGTTTTTGTTTTTTTGTTTTTTGTTATTCTGTCTCTCACTGTTAAAATACACCTACGATTACAATTATAGACTAATTATTCCTTTGTCAGTGGTCAAAAGTTCAAAATCAGCAGGGGATCAAATACTTTTCTCCCTCACTGTATGTGAGGTTTGAAAAATAAAATTAACTGTATAAATCCACATATCTTTATCCTGCAACTAAGTATCTCCATCTCGGCCCTCTGTCAAGTATTGTTAAAAGCTCTGTCCTATGCACTTGCATACCTCCCAACATTTGCAGCCGATAGGTGAGAGGGGCCATGCTCTTGCGATGCCCATAATGGCCGTCCTGCCCGCTGACAAGCTCTTTGATGGGTCCCCAGCTTTCAGGACCACGCAGAGGGCTGCTAAAAAGCGCCCTGCATGGTCCAAAAAAAGTGAGACTTGATGGGCAATTGGAGGCCTGCACTTCACTTAGCATCAAGAAAGCACACAGTGAAAATGAAAAAATAAACAATGGATTAATGCATAAAAAGTGTTGGGTTCTGTCATGTGGTCTAAAGTACTGAAAATGGATAGTCACCGTAGAAACCAACAGAACCAGCCTGACATTTTGTATTTATGACTCTGTTCCTTTTCCATATTTTCACCACTGTTTAGGACATTTATTTTTTTATAGATAATTCCAAATGCTTCTATTTCCTCTTTCATACGCATTGGTGCCATAGTTTGTCCTTGTCTGAAGTGGATTATGATATATTTCAATAAATTTATAAAATTGAAAGCAGAGCATCTTATTTTCAATGGTTTATTCAATGGTATTAATTCCAGAAATGTTACAGTTCTATATTAAAGCGACACTATAATCACCAGAACAACTACAGCTCATTGTATTTGTTCTGGTAAATAGAATCATTCCCTTCAGACTTTTTGAAGTAAACACTGTCTTTTCAGAGAAAATGCAGTGTTTATATTACAGCCTAGTGATATCTCCACTGGCCACTCCTCAGATGGCTACCAGAACTGCTTCCTGTGGCAGTGCTGCCCACCGTGCAGCAATGCCATTCAGTGTCACCACCCACTGCATGGAGACACTGAACTTTTCTCATAGAGATGCATTGATTCAATGCATCTCTGTGAGGAGATGCTGATTGACCAGGGCTATGTTTGGCTTGTGCTGGCTCTGTCCCTGATCTGCCTCCTTGACAGTCTCAGCCAATCCTGTGGGGAAACATTGTGATTGGCTCACACAATTATTTCTGATGATGTCAGCCAAGCAGGCAGATCAGGGACAGAGGCAGCAGCTGCAGTCTTGAATACAAGTACGATTTTACTATATTTAGAGAGGCAAGTGGGATCAGGGGGGACTAGATGGTGGTTTTAACATTATACGGGCAGAACACATTTTTGTGTTCCTGACCCTATTGTGGTCCCTTAAAGTTTATCATATTTTTGTAAGAAAGAAGGACAAGAGTTTGAAATAAAAATTGTCAAATTTTCAACATTAACTTATGAAGAACTAGGTATTTTTCCAAAGTGTGTTTAACCCTTTCAGAGCAATGCATTGTTACAAACCCATGAGTCAGCCCTTAAAAAGTTGACTTAGAATTTCTCAAAACCATGTAAGTGTTTACCAACATTGTGTTCCACACAATAAGCCAGCAACAAGGGACAACATGAGCTGGAGTTGTGAATCAGGTAGTTTATCAGGCACATGACAATTTACAATAATTACAGATTAACCAACCTAATACTTAGCTTCACTTGCAATTTTGTGATCAAGGTAGGCCGGAAAACAGAATTTATCTGAGTATTTGAAAAGCAAACAAATGAAAGATTAGTTGAATTTATGCATTGCCTGAAAGTTGTTTCCTTATTAAATGCTTGTAAACTTCACTAAATCCTTCATTGCTAGAGGGAAGATCAACACATTGCATACACTCTGCCAAATAATCTTATTTTGCTTTTGTGATTGAACCATTAGAAATGCTCTCTATACAAATTGTATCTCTTTCCTTTTGCTTCTATATTGCCAGCAATCTTTAAGATTATATAAAAACTGAAACCGCTTTAAAAAACAATGATTATCACAAATATACGTGTTTTGGAATGCCCTTTCCATTCCAAAACACGTATATTTGTGATAATCATTGTTTTGCAATGTAACATGAAATTCAGCCATTAAATCGTCATCTACCTTCCTATTTGCTCCAGCACTGCTCTCTACTCTACAGAGAAACAAATGCCCATTCTCTCCCTCTGAATCTTTGTAATAGGAAAGTAAATTGTCGACAGTTGGGGTCCCTTTCTGGAACATTTTGTGGCCCTTGTTGTACAATGTGTACTCTTGTTGGATGAAGTAAGGATGTTGTCTGGGTTTGGTGTTGCACATCCTATTTTCTTTTGTAAAGGGGTAAGGGTATGTATCCTCCAATGCTCCCTCTTGGTGAACTATATTGTACTAAATAAAGGCACGGTCTAGGCAGGGCCGTCTTTAACGCGGGGCAAACGGGGCAGCTGCCCCGGGCCCAGTTGCTCCTGGGGGCCCAGAGCAGCTGCTCTGTGGGCCCCGCGATTTGCGCAGCCCCTGCGGTGCGGCTCCCGCACACTGAGGAGGCTCCCCAGGTGGCCCATGCACTAAGGGCCACCCGAGGAGCATGTGTCAGCAGGGGCCCGGTCGGGCGCTGTAACAGCGCGACCGGGCCCCTCTTCCGGTTCTGCAGCCGGCTGGGAGGAAGTGACGTCACTTCCTCCCACCGGAGATAGCCGCGCGGGAGGAGGAAGGCAGGGAGGCGGGGAGTTCCAGAGGAGAACTCCCATCTGCCTCAGCCTGCCACTGGACCAGGGAAACCACCCTCCAGGAAAAGGTAAGAACCTGGAGGGTGGCTAAATGTATGCCAGTATGTCTGTGTGTGTGTGTGTGTCAGTGTGTGTGTGTGTGTGTCAGTATGTCTGTGTGTGTATGCCAGTAGGTCTGTGTGTGTGTCCGTATGTCTGTGTGTGTATGCCAGTAGGTCTGTGTGTGTGTCAGTATGTCTGTGTGTGTATGCCAGTATGTCTGTGTGTGTGTCAGTATGTCTGAATGTATGCCAGTATGTCTGTGTGTGTGTGTGTGTCAGTGTGTGTGTGTGTGTGTCAGTATGTCTGTGTGTGTATGCCAGTAGGTCTGTGTGTGTGTCCGTATGTCTGTGTGTGTATGCCAGTAGGTCTGTGTGTGTGTCAGTATGTCTGTGTGTGTATGCCAGTATGTCTGTGTGTGTGTCAGTATGTCTGTGTGTATGCCAGTATGTCTGTGTGTGTGTGTGTGTGTGTCAGTATGTCTGTGTGTATGCCAGTATGTCTGTGTGTATGCCAGTATGTCTGTGTGTATGTGTGTGTGTCAGTATGTCTGTCTGTATGCCAGTATGTCTGTGTGTGTGTGTGTGTCAGTATGTCTGTGTGTATGCCAGTATGTCTGTGTGTGTGTGTGTGTGTCAGTATGTCTGTGTGTATGCCAGTATGTCTGTGTGTGTATGTCAGTGTGTGTGTGTGCGTCAGTATGTCTGTGTGTATGCCAGTATGTCTGTGTGTGTATGTCAGTGTGTGTGTGTGTCAGTATGTCTGTGTGTATGCCCGTATGTCTGTGTGTGTGTATGTAGGTATGTCTCTGTGTATGTGTGTGTACGTGTGTGTCAGTATGTCTGCCAGGATATATTTGTGTGTCAGTGTATGTGTGTGTCAGTATGTATCTGTGAATGTTTTAATGTCTGTCTGTGTGTATGTGCCAGTACGCCTGTCTGTGTGTATGTCAGTATGTCTGTGTGTGTGTGTCAGCATGTCTTTGTGTGTCAGTATGTCTGTGTGTGTATGTAAGTATGTCTGTGTGTGTATGTGTGTGTCAGTCAGTATCTCTGTCAGTGTATGTGTCTGTGTGTGTATGTATGTATGTCTGTGTGTGTGTGTCAGTCAGTATGTCTGTCAGTGTATGTGTCTGTGTGTGTATGTATGTATGTCTGTGTGTCAGTATGTCTGCCAGGATATATTTGTATGTCAGTGTATGTGTGTGTCAGTATATATCTGTGAATGTTTTAATGTCTGTCTGTATCAGCCATTATGTCTGTCTGTGTATATGTCAGTATGCCTGTGTGTGTGTGTCAGTGTGTATGTCAGTATGCCTGTGTGTGTGTGTCAATGTGTCTGTCAGTGTATGTGTCTGTGTGTTTTAGTATATCTGTCAGTGTATGTGTTTGTGTGTGTGTCAGTATATCTGTTAATGTATGTGTCTGTGTATGTATGTATGTCTGTGTGTGTGTCAGTATGTCTGCCAGTATATATTTGTGTGTAGTGACTTTGTGTGTCAGTATGTATCTGTGAATGTTTTAATGTCTGTCTGTGTGTGTATGTGCCAATACGTCTGTCAGTGTGATTGCGGGTTGGACGTAATTGGGGGGTGAGGCAGTGGCAGGGACAGGGCCTATGGGGCCCAAGAAAATGCATTGCCCAGGGTCCTAATCATATTATAGACGGCCCTGGGTCTAGGGGTATGCTCCCCACATTGGAAAATGAGTGACAGACACAGATCTTCTACTTTGATCTTATGACAAGTGCCACAGTTTCATCCAGTGTGTAACCCCTTGGTAGCAGGGCCTACTGCAAATTTGATATTGATCTAGTTATCGTTAGAAAAACATTGAGCACAAAGCAGAGGCAATTTATTAATACCAATGTAAATAACATTAGTGTGGTGTAAATACACATTACTGGGAGTTAATTGTTTAAAACTATGTAATACATTTGCATGAACCACATGTATCAAGCGCCTAAAAAGAAGATTGATAGTGAGTGAAATTGAAATAGGCATTTTGTAAGTATGCAGTTAGTGATGTAATGGGACACTGTAACTAACTGCCTCGTCTCATTGTAGTGGTTACAGTGTTTGGAGTCCCCTGTCTCTGTTCTTCCATTCAATTATAAACTGTTTGTGGGGGTAATGAATAAATAGCATGACATAGGCACCGTCGTTATTCGGCAGGTGCTATTTTAAAATTTGACTTAAATGAGACTCAGACACCGTTTATCCTGTTGGAGTATAAAGTACACAGCTTTATTAATTCTTATTAAATATATATAAATTAACATATTTAGGGTCATTGTCATCACTGACATTATGTTACTATCCCCCTGCACAATACCCCTGACAATGACCCTACCACTTGAACAATAATTAACATTCAAATAACATTTAACTTGTAACACACGCCTACCAAAGAGGCCCCATATCCATACTGTTAACTGTACCCAGACACCCCAACCCCCTAGGTTCGTAGCCACCGAAGAGCTTGAACCTACCAACCCTCACTTCCATCTGACCTACTCCAGCCTAGGCCTTGGCCTGTCCACTTCCAAGTCCAGCAAACTTCTGACTTTACCACGCCCTGTTCTGCCAAAGCACATGACTTGATCCCTTAAGGACATGTGTGACCCCCACTACACAAAAACAGGGCCCGGCTAATACCTTCCTGAAAGCCTAGATTAAGTAAATCGCTCCCCACATCCGACAAATGTACACCATCTCTTCTGAAGTAACCGGGTGTCGTACTACGACGCCGCCCAAACGCCTAATAAAAACCGCCATGGTCTTATTGACCTTACCCCTGCATCGGGCCACTGCAACTGGATCCCTGGCGTGCCGCCACGTAAAACGGGGCACCATTTCAGACCATACCACCACCACGCCAGGAACCAGCCCCAGGAGTCGATCCATGTCCCTCTTCATTCTTCTTACTAGTTCTCTTTGGGGGATAAGCCCTAAGTCGTTCCCCCCGCTGTGAACCGCTACCATGTCCGGTACTGACCCCCCCCGACACCATTCTAAACAACATGCTACTTAAACACTGCCAACTAAACCCCCGAAAACCAAACCATGATATCGCCACCCGGTCCTAAGGAAAACCCAGCTGTGTTCCATTTCTTCTAACTGCGGCTCTCTTCTGAGCCCAATATACCATCGAATGGCTGATTAACCACACCTTCCAACCTGCAACGAAACAAATGTTAGTGCCATGGTATCGAGCTTACTTACTCCACCATAATCACACATCCCCCCATTTCACACCAACCTGTTGGGTCTCACGTACGATCGGAAGCCTAAGGATTCCCATCTCCTTATCCGTTTGATCCTCTTGTCCCCCAGACCTAACCTCGTTGCCTCCGTTGCTGCCCTA